TTCTGTTAGTGAAAATATCATATTAAATTTAATTGATATTTCATAATCGTCTTAATTTGTTACTTTTAGATATGTTATTGGTGATCTAAGGGACTAAAATAAGATTTTTGAAAATTACAGGTACTAAAAACAAAAATTTTAAATTTGAGGGACCAAAAACAAATTTATCTTAAATTTGAGGGACTAAAAACATATTTAAACCTTTTATTTAAATTAAATAAAATAAGAAGGGATTGTAAGTGGAAAGTATCGAGTTGGACTTTAAACTCAACTCGAACACTTATTAAAGGAGGGAAACCTAATGGAGACCATAAAAATGAATGCGGAATAACAATCGAAGCTACAAGAAACACATAGAATAGTGGGATTGTCGCTCTAGGTAAGAGAGAGTGAGATTTTCACATCCATGGTATATATGAGAGATAAAGATAGAAAGGTGATCCCTAAGTCTTTTAGGTTATTTTTTAAGACTATATAGATTTGTATGAATATGATTGAGAATCGATTGTTGATCTATAAATTTGTTTATTGTATTTTGATTAAGTTGGCATGGTAATGAATTGATGTACTTTTAAGTGTTAGGGTTATTATTTGTATGAATTTGGGGCTTTAGGCTTAAAGGGATGAATTTAGATGAATTGATTGTTGGGATGCAAGCAAAGTTTCACATCGTTCAAACAAGAGGATGGACATGTGTTTATATACACATAGTTGTCTCCATTGGTAGAGAGGCCTTTTGGGTGATGTCCAAAAGCAAAATCATGAAGGCTTAGGCCCAAAGCGGACAATATCTCACTAATGTGGAGACATGTGTATATGTGTGGTAACCCCTGGTGCACAACAAGTGGTATCAGAGCCGATGGTCTAATCAGGTGACTAGCTCGACGAGTATGATGGCTGGCAGGTGGATCCAAGTTTGGGATCCCTTGTGTCGAAAGTCTTCCTAAACAGTGGAGGGTTAGGAGGCGTGTCCCGCTATCATGAGGGAGGTCATGATGGAGCGGTGGTGCAAGCACTCAGAGCGTGAGTGAGCTCTGTGGGCCACCATCGGATAAATACTCGTAGTTTCCACTACAAGGGAGGGGGTAAACCGTGGTCCTTTATTTGAGGGGAGGATTGTTGGGATGCAAGCAAAGTCCCACATCGTTCAAACAAGAGGATGGACATGGGTTTATATACACATAGTTGTCTCCATTGGTAAAGAGGCCTTTTGGGTGATGTCCAAAAGCAAAACCGTGAGGGCTTGGGCTCAAAGCGGACAATATCTCACTAATGTAGAGACGTGTATATGTGTGGTAACCCCCGGTGCACAACATTGATGAAGTTGTGTTGTTGTATGAGTATTGATTGATTGTTTAGCTAATTGGATTGTAAAAGAGACAAATGGATATGTGTAGATGGGTTTGGGGGGGACCTAGATCGTGGAGCTTGCAACTTTGCAAGATGTAGAATTTGCGGCCGTGTCGAATATGCCTTTACGGTGTTGGGCGCGGATGCATAGTTCTTAGCGTTGGGAATGAAGGTCACGCTGGGCATTGGGCGCAAGGATTCTAGAAGGGTCTTTGGCTTCCTTGCACTGGGCAAAAGTTGTCTTGTCAAGTGCCACATTAACATGTTTTTGGGAAAGGTGTTAATGCCAAGTATGCCATTTTCATAATTAATTTTGTTAATGAGGACAACTTGATAATAAAGGAGTCTGTAAAGGGTGATTAGAGTTAAGATCAAAAGAAAAGAATAAAGAAGTTAACAATTTGATAAAAACCTATAAATAAAAGGGAAAACTAAGAAGAGATTATAAATGTAAGTGATTAAGTGAAAGATGTGGCCCTGTGTGAGATGATATAATAATAACATATGCACGAGATAATATTGATGATAATATATGATATTATGATGTATGATGATGCTTGAGGATAATGATGTTATAATAATGAATGTTGTAATATGTGATAAATGAATGATGACAATGTGTAAGAATGATGATGTGTGTATGATATGGTATTGATGTACTAGCTATTATAAAAATTGATGATGTGATGAGTCAGTATGAGGTGATGCAGAGAGATGTTGTGAATAAGTCCAGGGTTATGGTATGACAAGTTGCGTTTAATGGTTGTTGCATGTGTGTCATGAAGTGGTGTTGTTGATAGAGTTTATGGATATATACTTTGTTTGCAAGATAGTTTGAGTCTATGTAGGTAGATATCATAGGTTATCTACCTATGCCTTGGGGAGGGTTAGGGTGAAGAATCTTTGACGAGAATGTTAGACAACAACAGTCAGTTGTAAGACTTGGACAAGACCTTGATAGACATCCTCTAGTTGAGGGTGGTTCGGGGGGAATCACATGGGATGTGGTGGTTCCTACACTAGTCTCATTCCATGGCTCCTAGGTTATTATAAGTTGAGGATGATGAGGAGATTTGGTACCACATGCATATAGAAGTAGGTGCATGCATTTGCACGAGTTCATGTTCATTAATTGTGATTGTTTTGGCTGTTTGAATGAATTCTAAATGAATGGATATAATTGAGATGTATGTTGTCTAATGATGGGTGAATGTGAGTGCATATGATGTGTATGATGTATGTTTTTTGTGACACCCTTATGCTTTATATATAATGTACATGAATAAAATGTATTCTCATTCCTTGTGTGTTGTTGTGTTTGTGTTTGGATTGATCGTTATTTGTAGGAATAGATCAGTTACAAATGGAGGAATTTGATGGAGGCAAAGCTTAAAGCTTCACTCATATTGGGATTTGCTCTAATTAGCACGACATTAGGGTTATATATTTATAGTTTTTCTTTATTAGCTGGAGTTATTTAAATATGATGACGTGTTTCATGTTGAGAGTTCGTGTAAACAAACGGTTTATGCCTTGTTTTAATACAACGTTTGGTTATGTCCCTTTTATTTAAAGAGTTTTATTGAAAGATTTGTGAGCCTTTTTTCTATAAATGATTATTAAGTAGTTTACACACACATTTGTATGTTTTATTGAGTTTTTATTAAAATCTTTATTTAATTATCCAGGATAGAAGGGTGTCACAATCCATCCTATATTATAGGAGTCATGTCATGAGCCTCTCAATAGAAGTAAGATATGAAATATGTATGACCATGCGAGAATGAACAATTATGTGATATTAGGTTTATTCTTATTTAAATATCTACTTGGATATTGAAAAACAAATGATTGAACTTAATAACAATGATATTATTATGCTTCATATTCAATCTAGGCATATGGATAAAAGGACAATTTGATGGATAATTTTTTGTTACATAAAGTTAAAATTAGATTAGTGAGGTGACAATAATGCATTGTTGGATATCAATCATTAAATATTATATTAGATATAATATTTAAATATTATTACTCATTAAATGAGAAACTATAAGATCACATACATATAGTAGATATTTAGAGCAAGTAATTAAATTAAATTTGATTAAATTTAATAATTAATTAAATAAATAGGATTTAATTGATAAAGAATCTAATTAACTAGTATTGTTTAATTAATTGACAAAAGAATTTAATTATTAGATTTAATAAAATTGACAGGTAATAAGACTTGTAATGTCCAAACTTAATAAGTATTATGTTTTAAAATACAATTTTTATTTAAAATGAAATTTTAAAAATAAAAAATCAAATATTATGCACTTAAATACAACTTTTATTAATTTAAATAAATAATAATAATAAATTATATGTCATGTTTTAAAACAAGATTTTTCTTTTAGTCTAGTGATTAAAAATGAAGTTTGAATAGAAGTGTGAGTACCTAATGAAATCTTTGTAATCTTTCTGATAAAAAAAACAGATTTTTCTTTTAAAATCGTATATTCCAAATACGGCTTATCCCTTTTCCATTTTTCTTAACATATACCCATTTTGAAAATTTCATGAAAAAATTACCCCCATCGTGTAAAAAGGCCTCCAAACACCCTACATTTTTTCACAATAATATATATATATATATATATATATATATATATATATATATATATCGAGACAATAAAAGTTATGTCAGACATACCTTTTAAGATCAATTATTTTATAACCGATCTTAAAAGTACTTTTAAGATCGGTTAAATTTTAACCGATCTTAAAAGTGTTCATATTATTTACAAAATTGTCACCGCATCACTTTTAAGATCGGTTACCTTATAACCAATCTTAAAACTCCGATTTAAAATCTAATTTTTGCACTAGTGAATGTCTAATATACACACTATAACATGTATATAAGTATAAATGTAACTAAAAATAAGTATATACAATATATATATATATATATATATATATCGGGAGAATATCAAGTGAGAGAAAATTTATTATGAGAAATGAGAGGGTTAAAATATAACCCTTAAATTAATTTTCTTTCACTTGATTAAACTCTAAATTTTCTCTCACTTATATGCTCCTTTTATATATATATAATTGTCAATAAACGAAGGACACCACAATAAAGAGTTATTACTATTATTCCAAAAGATAAGTTTTACTATATAATATAAAAAATAATTGATCAAATGACTCTACTCAAAAGCTTGTACACACGTAAATGTCCACAAGAATACTACTTTTATAAAATAATTATTTTTTTAACTAAATCAATCCAAAACATAAATATTTTTTTTTTATAAAAATTGTTATGAATACTCATTACTCTACCATAAGAAAAATAAATAAACTTAGAAAATAAATACATGATTGAAACAGTATTGCATATATTACTTTTAGGTCTAATAATTCATGCACTGATGATATAAAATTCTCGTAAAGCATCATTCAATTATAGCCATATACTTTTTATCCTAAAAATACAAATTAATTGATAATATGAAAACTACACTAACAGTACATGCTTATTGAACTTTACCTTTTTACTAGCAGGTCTTCGTATGCAAATTATTCATATCATTTAGCTTTTTCTTTTATTAAAAAAAACCATAATTTGACTTTACTTTTTAATTTTTTGACAAAAAAAAAAAAAAGATTTCCATATATTACTTTAAATATATATGATTTTTTGATTTTTCACAACATTTCCCAAATTCAAATATCTCTAAACTTTTCATTATATTACACAAGTAAAGGGCAACCTTGAGTTGCCAATATAAATTCTCTTTGGATACAGACATCCGAAGGTCACTGCAAGATATTCACTTGAATAAATTCAGCAATGCATTTATAATTCACTGAAAAGTTCCCCAACCTCCTTCTTCATCATTCCTTTAATCTGGTTAAGAATTAAAACAGTCATAGTTACATATCAAAAACAATAGAATATTTTTACATTAATCATGGACAATCAAACAAAAAACTACAAGAATATGACAATACTGCGAGGAGAATGATACCTGCTTTGCTGAAAGTCCAATATCCTTTAAATCATCTAGCTGTTAATGAAAAAATGGTTCACAGTCCCATAATTGTCAGATTAATAAACACATCTAACAAGTCAAAATAATTGGCAGAGGAAAAAGACAATGTCAAATTTTATTTAGCAAAGTTTTAAGGACATACATTCTTGAAAGGTTCTGGGGATTCTTCTCGAAGTTCAAGTATGAAGGTAGCTCTCTTCTCCCCAATTCCCTATTGAAAAAAGTTCAATCAGTTACAATACAAGGTATAATAGGAAAAGTATCATCTTAATATTGAAAGGTGAGTATTCCTAACCTTCAGTTTTTTTAATTCTTCCCTGTTCATATTCAGAATTAAAATTAAAAAGAACAAAAAGTAAACCAGTCAGATTCTCACATGAGGTATGGAATGCGGAGTCATTAAAGGCTATAACATTTTATGACAATCACAATACTCACCAAATGTTACCCAAACGAGAGAGGATATTAACAATTTTTTGTTTAAATTGGACACACATTACATGAAGTGTTTACTTACTTGTTAGCTGTGTTTAAAAACCTAAGGTATTCTTCAACAAGAGAATTCTGCAATTAAAAATATAAGTTAGAAACATTAAAAGTACACACTAAAATACAGTCTCATTTGACAATATTATGAATTTATGAGTAGATCAAACCTTCATTCCAGAACCACGCATGCTGTATGTTTCCCAAGGACTTTTAGCACTCATTACATCACATCTATTAACCCTCATATTTTGATCAGCGGTAGGAGTTTTTGGTTCTGCAACATCAGCAGACACCTGCTTATTATCAAGTAAAACTGACTCCTTTTCTGGTATTTGCACGCACAGAGGAGTTGGAGTTGGCAGCGAACATAGCATCTTAAGGCTATTAGAAAGATCGCGTAGTTGAGAACTGATAGATGGTGAACCATCTTCATTTTTCCTTGAACTGTTATTCTCTTTGTTCAGGTTGGGGTCTGTAATGACAAAAAAAAAAAATCAATGTAGATGTGCATCATATGATTAGTCAAATAATTTATCTCTTAAAATTCATCAGTGCACACAACCTTCTTGTACTATTACTGACAGTGCTTGAGTTTGATGATCCTCGCTATCCACCAAAATATCCTACCACAGAGAAGAGCATTATTAAGTGTCTTTTGTATCCAAGTCAAAGCATTCAAGTATCAACCATTCCAAAGTTTTAATGCCAAGAAGGTTTAGATAGGCTTTTAAAATGTCTAGTTGAAAAAGAAAATGGAACTACGGAAGATGGAACTTGTGTATCATTTGATAAAATTACCTGATCTGCAAGGGGATTGGGTTCCACTTTCCTACTAGCATTCAAACACGAGTCATCCTGCATACTCTAATAGAGTATATTTATATGTTATATAACAACTTTGCAAATATTATTGGCTGAAAGAATGTCTAAACATATTTAAATTGTACAAGATCAGGTCATTTACATTTTCCTCCATCAGATTAAAATTCACATTCTGACTAGCTTCTGAAAATGAATCATCCTGCATAAAACATTTGTTAGTCTCCGATGAAATACAATGTGAGTCTTAGAGGAGAAAAAATTGAGAACATTTCTTTTGTCAAGGTTTTGTTCATGCTAGGATTCAAGGTAAACTATTTATTACCTTTTCCAGTCCAGGGTTGAGTTCGACATGATTTCCAGCCTCCAATAATGAATTATCCTGTTTTAGAAACCAACTGATGCATTGAGCTTTCTAATTTGTTTGTTAATGACAGTAATAAGAAATAAATTACGAAAGATGTATTACCAATAACGGTTCTGATGCTTGAGTAACATGGGCAACAGAATTTTCCTGCAAAAACAATTATCCATTAATGACACCTCACATAATCCCTACAGAAGAATAGTTAGTTATACAACTTTTTCCTCCACCTCAAATGTCCCAATTTATCAATTAGAAATAAAATTCTAATATTTAGATTTTCAACTGTCGATCTTGTATATAACAATGACCTTGCCCATATCAAAACTATATTTATGCTTGGATAAACTGAGTTCTAATATTTATTTAGCTTTTAATTCCTTGCAAATATAACATTACTAAGGGTACACACACAAAAAGAGAGTGATAATGAAAAATAATATTTGATTATCAATCTGAATTATGACTTCCAAGTTGAAGTTCAAACTGAGCCAGCCAAACCAAAAAAATGTTGTTCGTTTTCATGTCCTCTAGAAAAAATAATGAGAAAAAACAACATAGAATATTTAGAAAAGAAGAAAATCAAATACCTTCTTCTCAGCTTTAGCAGCAGAATGGCCGACTTCCTCAAACAATTTCCTTTAATTTGAAAAGGTCAATAACTACAATTAGATAAAATACAAACAATCAAACCTAATAAAATATGTACAGAATCTCGGTACAACCTTCCTTTAATTGCAGACTTCACAGTAATATCAGCCTTTTTTCCAATTAATTTAGAAGAGCCATGTAATTTCTTTGTTGTTCCAGAAACACTTTTGGATATCTGGTTCTTATGAGTATTCACCATCTTTATAGATGAGGTTCCACTTTTCTTGGTGGAATCTAAGGATGCCCGATGAATCCAATGACATGCCCGTGATGCCAAGCTTACCATGTAAATGGTGTCTTGACAAAATGATGGGTTCTAAATTAACAATACAGGAAAAAGAAAACCGAAAATCAAAGTTAAATTACTGATACAAAACCAAAAAAGAAAATTTGAACAGAAAACTAGGCATAATTACCAAGCAGGAAACCAATAAAATTTTGCTAGTCCCCCTCAAGGAATCCTGCAGCATGCGTGTAAGTTTGCTTTCCCGGTAGGGAACATGACTTTCATTTGTACTCAAAGCATGACAAACATTTAATACAGCATAAATTGACTTGTTAATTCTGTTGTTAATCTCGGCAAGACAGGAACCATCACTACTTTTCTTTCTAGCATCTTCATAACCTGATAATAGAAGTATAGCACTGTAAGTCAAATTTTAAATATGTCTAATGAGCCAGTTAAATAAAATATTATTAGACATCTTTTACTTGAGCTTGAGCATAGATTATATAACCTGCCAAATCAACAAAATTCATTTTGCTCACTAGGCTTTCAACACTTTTCTTCTGAGAAAAGACATGCAGAATTAATCCCATGTGGATTCTTCGAACACGTTCACGGCCTCCTTCACAGCCTCCTTTTTTGGGAGCTCCCTTCTGTGAAAAACATGCGGTGGAGTACAAATTCTGAAATTCAGCAATGGATTTCACAGGAACCTGCAGACAAAAATGCAATACAAAGTCCCATGTTATTTGTCTACTATCCATCTTTGAAATTTCCATTTTCTCTAATCTAAAATACTAAGCAGTAGAAATAATCAAAATAGATTTCTACCTGAGTTAGTCCTTTAAATTGAATTCTGCCACGGTCTTCAAAAACCAGAATTGGTGGCTGTTCCGGATTTAATAAATCCACGGCACGCTCCTGATGATCAACCTCATAGAAAGAAACAGCTATGGATTTCCCATTTTTCTCAGCCACTGAAAGAATCTCAGCAACAGCAAGCACTGCCAAACCCGGTCTCTCAGCAGAGCCCTTGAACAGCCGAGGTCGTTAGCATAAAAATACAATTTCATAGATATCAAACAAGCAAAATTATTCATAAACGCCTCCCACAACACCCCAAACCAAAAAAAAAAAAAACTAACTAGCATGCTGACTAAGTGAACACTACAAGAAAAATGATCTATACCTACAAACGGTTTTAACTTATGACATGTATTAGTATAGGTAAAAACTCAAAAATACTTCTACCTACACATGTTTAATGTAGGTAAATTTCAAACACTTATACCTATAGTCACTTGATGTAAGTAAAACCTTAAACTTATTCATAAATGTTTCATTGATGGCTTATTTACTTTATTTACTTACCAGTAATTGTTTTACCCAAGTTAGTAGTTATGAGTGTATTAATAATTATTGATCAATAAAATAAAAAGTAATTATCAATTATTGATATACTTCAATCTATTTTTAATTTGTTATTGTCAAGTAGCCACTCTCTTTTTCTTTTTTTAGGTTCTGTTATTTTATTTGTCAAGTATGACAAACACCTTTGCACGGTTCTGCCTCTGATCCACTACATCATGGCTTTCTAATAAATGCTGAAGTATTTTATACTTTCTTTGCTAAAAAAAATCAAATCCTACATGCATAAAGAAGCTACGTGAAGTGTTATTGACTCAAAGGTAGCTCTAATACTATACTTGTTTCACTTAATTCTGATATTGAAAATAAATTATTTCAAAGTTGTACTTGGGGTTGGTAAAGCTAAGAAAAATGATTTATTTATTTATAAATTAAATAATTTTAATTTTTAACTTTACCATTGCAGTACTAAATAAGAATTTAATACTGTTTAGGTGAAAATAAAATACATGAGTTTGATATAGGGTCCAACTCATGATGGGTGAGATACATATAGTAATACCAAGAATTAATTTCATTTTCTGTGTTATATGATTTGATATAGACCTTAATTGTTTCTAAACAGAAAAGCTGCATTGGGTCTACATTTTAATTTGAAATAAGAAAAGAAACAAGGAGTAGGGGTCTACATCAAAAACAGGACACCATCAAGCCCAAAAAACACAGAAATGCATAAACAGGCACCACATCTAGGGGTGTTCATGAATCGGTTTTTTGAAAAATCCGAACCGAACCAAACTGAACCGTTTTATAAAAGTGGATCAGTTAACCGATCCATTTTTTATAAAGTGGGTCGGTTTGGTTTTTTTAAAATATGGATCGGTTTTTTTGAAATTGAATTGGTTCCGTGCGGTGCAGTTATCCATTTTTTACTCATATATGGATCAATTTTTTAAAAAATCCAAACCGAACTAAACCAATCCACTTTGTAAAAATGGATTGGATAACTGAATTGGTTTTATAAAGTGGTTCGGTTCGGATTTTTTTTCAAAATGGATAAGATTTTTCAATATGGATCGGATCGGTTATGGATCGGTTCGAATCAATTTGGATTTTTTGCACACCCATCAACCCCACAATCACTACACCACATTCTCTTGCAGTAATGCAGAAACATTGAAGATCATTGCAGAAAATGACAGATGGCAAAAAATAACAGAAAATGATAGATGACAGCTAAAAATTGAAGAAACATAATTTAAAGAACCAGCAGCACACAAACACACACCAAACCAGCACAAAGACTAAATTAGAAAAGCAGTACGACCAGCACAAAAAGATGCATAAAACCAGTAGGCAGACACAACCAGCATATATGCTTATTTCCAGTCTTTACACCTTCTTTCCTGCCATTAGCAGGTCTTGTTGCCCAAAGTTAATTGAGACATGGATAATGTGAAAATGTTTGATGATACATATTTTATTTAGAAATCTACAACTTCTGTCATCTATTTTACAAAATTGTTATAACTTACTTTGATGTAACTCTTAGGCATAACCTGTTTCTCAACCTTTTTTCTCACTGTATTTCAATTCATGCTTTCAATTACAGATTGTAGATAATTCTTAATATTACTCATGTAATCAGCACATAGCTTTTTGGTGCTCTCACAGTTTCATAGATATCATAAACAGGCAAAATTCTTGGAAAACACTCTCACAACCCCGAACTCAAAAAAAAAAAACAGAATGCTGACTGAATGAGACAAACCTGAATTGTGTGGGTCTTTCCACTACCTCTAGCACCATGAGCAATAATGGTGCTATTACGACCTTCAAAAGCTGCAGACACAAGAGGCCTCACCTCCTTCGAATATATCATTTCGTTATCTTCATCTTCCTTATAGCAGTAATCTACCAAATACCGACTACAGAGCGAAAATTAAATCAAATCAGTGTCACAACCTTGATTTCATCAAATCAAATTCACAAGAAAATTATTCACAATAATAAAAAATAAAAAAAATTTCCTAACCCGAGAGACCTTAAATTTCAATTTTAAATTTCAATTTTAAATACTCGTTTTATTTTTCTCTTTTTTTTCCCAAACTTAAGATTTAAAAGATGTAAATCACGTAACACCATTTATTTTTAGCTAATCAGACTACTCTGATTCTCCTACACAATTCAAGAACCACAAACCCTCAGAATTTAGATGTATTACTACTATTCAACTATCACTCATGAAAACTCTAATTACCCAAACATTTAACAGTTCAAGAATCACAAACCCTCAGAATTCAGAATTCAATCAGTTTCTCTCCACTAAAGCTCTGTTCCTCAACAAAATTCAAAAAGCCAAAACTGCATAATTCAGAAACCCTACAACAATACCTAGAAGATTGGTCTCCGAAGGAGACAGTGACATCCTCCAAATTTTCACGGTTCACCGAAATCCAGTCCACAGTTCTGGAAGCGACAGGTTCGGAGTTAGCCTCGGGAGCCGAGAAGCCGCGGATCTTGGCCACGACCCGAACCTTACGAGCCGCACGATCGAATTGCTTTGAATCCATAGAAGCTAAAGTCAGAGGATCTAAAGTCACAAAAGAAGAAAGCGGAACAATTGAGAGAGAAGAGAGTGTTTTGACGGTGAGGAGAGAGAAAAGGAAGAAGTAGAGGCAGAAGAGGAAGTAGCCGTTGGAAATTAGAAGAGAGATATTTCAAAAATGTTTCTTTCTCCCTCTCGCGCTCCTTTAGATGGAGACTTTTTTATATTTTTCACCAAGCTTCTTTGACACGCTGTATAGTAAGTAAGCCTCTAAACTGTGCGTTTTAATGCCAGATCATCGTGATTCATGACATTGGTTCACCTAAAGTTTTGAATATAATTATGTAAAATTAGAGGATTCTAATATAGATACAAATAAATATTAAAAATTATGGATAATTATTTTAAAAATATATATAATTTTTTTTATATATATTTTGAAAGTATAATCATTCACTAAAAAATAAGATTAAAAGGTAATTACTAAAATATATTCATTTTATAACATATTAGTATGGTTGAGACATTTCGTGCTTCTATTAAAGATAAAATAAAATAAAAATTAAATAATATATATAAGTTAATCTAATGTTATAAGAGTTAATCACCTATACACTGCGAGTGTAAAGTTTTTTTATACTGGCAATCAATCCGAACCGTTAATAGTATCTTTTTATTTTAATTTAATTAAATAAACAGATGAAAATATAGTATTAATGGCTCTGATTGACTGCAAGTGTAAAAAAACATCACACTGGCAATGTATAGGTGATTAACTCATGTTATAATTAGTCAATTAATTTTAAGGTCTTGATTTTGAGAAAAATAATATTTTTTTCATTTTTTAAAATGAAAAGGTATAATGGTCAACAAAATGTGGTGACCGAGGTGGTTACTAAAAGAAGTATCCTCTTTATATATTAGTATAGATTAGTAAGGATATAATGGTTAACAAAATATTTGATAAAAAAATATTATTTTTTCTAATTTTTTTTAAATGAAAGGGTATAATGGTTAACAAAATGTGGAGACTAAGGTGGTTACTAAAAGGAGTATCTCTTTATATATTAGTATAGATACTAGTGGGATTGAGGTACTTTGTACCTCTATTAAAAATAAAATAAAAATAAAGATAAAATAATAAAAGTATGTTGATCTAATTAATGTTATGATTAATTCATTAGTTTTCAATTTTTAAATTTGATTAAAAAATATTTTTTCTAATTTTGAAAAATAGAAAGGTATAATGGTAAAAAAATGTGGAGACCAAGGTAGTTAATGAAAATTGTATCCCCTTTATATATTAGTATAAATATAGATGTATAGATTAAAATTTAAGTTTAATTTATTATTTATTATAAGATTTTATATATCTGGTCACCTCATTTTAAAATTTTAGTTTAATTTATTAATTTATTTAAAATTCATATTACATAAACAATGTTAAAAAAATTAATAAATTTTATTTAAATAAATAATTTTTAAATATGTATATAATTTTTTAATTTACATGATAAAAATAATTTATTTTATTATTATTAAAATTTAAATTTCAAAAAATTATAAAGTAACATAAGAATCTCCAAAACTAACATAATTTAAAAAAAAAATGTTGTACATAGTTTTACGTGTAGAAAATATCAAAAACATATATATAATTGGGGAAAAAAATAGAGAGAGAATTATTTCTGTTAGCATGACAACTCATTTATACTTACGTACACTTATGCACCACAACTTATTTTCTATTAAAAAAAACTTGAATTTTTTTATTATAAGTTTAATAATATAATATGAATATTAATTTTTTTTTATGAAATATTTTTAATGGTAGTTCTTATAATAATTTTATTAAACTTCTTATTTTAGTGGTGATTTTTGTATGAAATTTTTTTAAAGTTGCTACTTGATTTTAAGTAATTTTGTGTATCATGTCATCACATTCTATATAGATAAATAAGTTGACTTATCATGTAGCTAAAAAAAATTATAAATCTAAACTCAATCATTTAAAATAAATATTTAAAAAAAAAATCTAAACTTGACACCAAATTTTAAATAAATTAGACTATAACTTAATCTCTATATATTAAATGTGAATCACTATCTTGCATCAAAATGTTTTTAGGAACAATTTTTTGTTGAAAGTGTTTTTAGAATTTTTTTACCTTCCTATCTAATTAAAAAAATTTATTTATCATATTATTTATGAATTAATTTTTTATATTTTTAAAATAAAATATTAATCATTAATTAAAAATAATTATGTTACAATATAAATTATTTATTTAAGTCTGAAATATTATATATATATATATATATGTATTATATAATACATTATAAATATTAGTTAAATATAATAAACATTTAGCCTAATGAGTAATGACATATTAAAAAATTTTAAGTAGTGAAAAAAATACTCATAAATAAATTTGTAATATTAAATATATAACTTTACATTTTTAAAATATAAATATACATCAAGTTGCTCTTTATGAGATTTCATATTTTAAAAATATTGAATGATTTTTTTCATTTTTAAGATTTTTAAAAATATCTTTTTTTTTATATAAGTAACTAAGCAATCATTTAAAGATTTATATCTCATATCAAAATTTTAATCATTTTTTCTTTTTAAAAATAGTACAATATAAGTTTGGGTCAATTATTACTTTTTAATTCTTTTACCAACTTAATTATAATTAATACTTTCTCCGTCTCATAATAAGTATTTTCCTAGATTATTTTACAAAGGCTAAAGAATAAATAAACCTTGTGATTAATCTTGTTTTACTATAAACAACGCAATAAAATATTCACTTTTTAAAGAATATTATGAATGGTATAAGTGAAAAAAAAAAGTAATTAATACTAAAGTAAAAAGGTGATATGAAAATTATTTTGAGACTTATTTTTTTCAAACACAATTAGATAGAGTATTATACATACTATAAGAAAAAATATTTCAAAAAATTAATATATTAACTTTGACTCTTTTTAAAAAATGAAAATATCATAAATAGTAGAAACACTTAATATTTAACATGAGAAGTAACAGCATAATATTACCCAAGAAAGTAATATTCTAATCAAACATGTGAATCTTTATTTTCCAAGAAATATGTATTTATTTCTAGGAATATAACTTTCAGAATTTGTAATTTTCAAGAATCATGATTCTCATAGAAAAAAAAATTTCTCTCCTACCAAATATTCCCTAAATACTTCCATGCATTCAAAATGTCTTATTTATTGTGAATAATTGTTATATTTGATATTTATTAAATGTATGATTCACTTATAGTATTTTCTTTTATAATAAATTTTGTTTGTTGATAATAGTAATTGTAGCATAATTTGTTTACACTTCTCTTGTAGCTTATCAAGAACAAATATATCAGGTGAAAATCCCGTCCAACCCTCATGGAGTCGACACTTTCAAATGGAATGGTGACTCATCGGGTTCTTATTCAGCATCATTAGGGTTCAAGTTCTTACTCCCTCTTGAACCAATACCCAGAGATCCTATATGGAAAAAACTTTGGAAATTGCCAATTCCAAAAAAAAGTTACGATTTTTCTTTAGTAAGGACTACATGGAGCACTCCCCACGAACAACAAACGGTATACATGTCACCTCATTTCTTCCCCAGCTTGTCCATGTTGTAGGCATGTCCATGACGATCTCCTACATGCCGTTGAGATTGTCCTGACCCCAATGCGGTTTAGAAATCCTTTAATCTTCTCCCTTTCTCGTGATTTACTGATTCTAGCTTTGAATCATGGTTGCGTTCTATCATTATTAGCCCTTCAACAACATGCTTAAGCATAATTGCATGGTGGAATCGGAAATGGCGTAATACAGGGTTCCTAAGTAACATTGAGTGAACTTGCAATACGTTGTTCATAAATTAAGAAGAAAGGTCTTAGAGAACTCTCTTTTTCATAAGCAACAAAGGCTTTGGATGGAGAATACGTCATGGTTACCACCTAAATATCCGTACGTGAAACTCACAGTGGATGGAAGTTGGCTACCTCATAACCAGATGATGGGAATTGGTGGAGTAATTCGAGATAGCACTAGGAGTTGGCGGCGAGGTTTTGCTCATTCCTTCTAGAACGAGGACCTTCTTAAGGCAAAACTCTTGGCATTGGTGGAAGGCCTATCATTATGTTGGGATATGGGTTTTTAGTTTGTGATTTGTGAGTCAGACTACCTTGAAGCTGTAACAATAGTAAATTTGTGGCATACAGGCCCAACAAATGGGCACGCTCATGCGGACATTCTTAATAACATACAAGAATTAATGGGTCGAACTTGGTCAATAACTATGGTGAGGATTCCTTGGGAAGCTAATTGAGTAGCTCATCTTTTAGCTAGGTGGAGGGCATTATGCGTGTTTATCTAGGAACACCCCCCAAACTTTGGAGAGGAGTTAAGTTAGTCTTTGTTTTTTAGCTTTTGTTACTATACAAAAAAAATGTTTCATAAGTATTAAGTTTAAGATTATAATTTAATCAAATTTTTTTATTAATATAACGACTAACCATGACCCCTAAACTAAACGACACGACTATTAGTAGCAAAAAAAAAATAACTAACTTAGAATTATAGATCTACAAATATGAGAAAGATCTATTATACTACATTCGTACAAAAATAAACAACACATATAAATACGTTCAATATTAAATACAATAATTTTGTAAATGTAAACTATATAACCTAAGTTGTTGTCAGTCAAGCAACTCTACAACATATACACAATTACGTTAAAGGAAGACACCAAAAGAACCTTTAGCTCTTGTACCACTGAGTGGCCTCCACAACACTTCAATCATATCCCTACCCTACTCTCATATCACGTATAATCATCACAGTTCAAATCACATGGAAACACACAAGGGTAAGATAGATTAAAAAAACCTATATACAACGCAAGAATATCACATCATCATCATCTACAATAACACAACACAAGGCATCACATTATACAACCCATATTAGTACAACAACTTAGTTTCAACACATTAGTACATTTCATCACAAATCAACATAACATATGAGCATCACAATCAACTCAACACATCATATACTCAACACAACAATTATATGCATCGTTATGCATTTCAACTAGGAGATCTCCTACAATACAAGGTGAACAATTAAAGTGGCTTGACCC